CATTTTTGTACCCTTTGTTTTGCATGTGCGTTTATCTAATTTGGGTAGGGGAAGGGGAAGCACAGAAACAGTGGGACAAAGGATGAACCAATTCAGTAGTGATTCTCTAGACATTCTGTTGGAAATGAACTATACAATGTGAGGTGGGGAGAAGAAGGGGGTTAGGATAGGAAAAACTGGGAAAAATAAGAAAGGGGGTAACACTGTTCAAAAAGAAATGTACTCATTATCTGACTCATGTAACTGTATGTTGGGTCTGGCCTCTCGTTTTATTTTGTTGTCTTTTTTATTATCTTTAAGCAGCTGTACAAAGGAGTAGCCACTTAACAAAGCAGTTTATGAATGCAATGCATCCCCATTGTCACCAATCTGAACATCCTCACCCATCCCTTCCCTCTCCACCCCTCCCCTCACTCTTCTTAATTTTGTAGGATTTACATTAGGTTCTTGATGGTATGCTCCCCCTCTTCTCTTCATTCCTCCACCTCTCTCCTCTTGCCCCCAGCCTGCCCCTTTCCAGTACCTGCTTCCTGGCGTTTATTTCCTTGAGGGCTTGCCTTTTAAATCCAAGTTGTCATTTTTTGTTTTATTGGAGTGTTAACATTCAAATTCAATAGTAATATTGAAATGCATGTCATACTTCTTGTCATTTTGTTCTTTTCACGATACTTCTTTTTTCTTTTCTCATCTTGATTTGCGAATCTACTCATCTAGTAAGGTTTATTCTTTTGTGAATGTTCCTGTTTTTGATGTTGTTCTTCTATGGATTGGATTCCTCAACGGTCTTTTCCAATGCTGGTTTAGTATTTGCGAATTCCTTTATCCTGTGCTCATCATGGAAAGGTTTTTGTTTCTCCATCAGGCCTCAACGGTCGGTCCTGGCAGTTGGTGTCTTTCGGTGCTTGAATTATATTCTTCTATCACCTTTTAGAATTTAGAGTTTGAGTTGAGAACTCTGTATTACGATGAATGTTCCATTGTTAGTGTCTTTTCTCCTGTCTTTGCAGCTTTCAGTGATTATTTTTTCTGCATATCTGGTGTTTCGTCTCTAGTGTGTACAGGGTGTTTCTTCCTTATCCCATCATTTGACATGGATTGAGGTTAAGGAGTTTTCTCCTATTACTTTATTGAATAGATTCTCAATATCTTTAGTTCAGTTTTTGAAATCCCCTTTTAACATATCTGTGATTTATCAGTTGGGTCTTTTGAAGGGGTCATACAGGACTTGTCAATTCCATTTTTAATCTTCTGTTTTTTCAATGCCTTTGTTTTATCTAATTTCTCTGCTTCCTCCTCAGCTCCTCCTATGTCCTTTAAAACTC